ACCTCATTTTTTTAAATCGTTATATTTTTATCTAAATCGACGGAACTGTTTATGAAATACATCAGGAACTGTAGAACTATTGTGGGTGCAAATGGAACTCTTAATAAAATTTCCGATTTTTGAAAATGAGGTGCCAACTTCACAGACACTCGACTTCCGAGTTCCGAGCACGGAAAGTTTCACGTTCGATCGATCTCGAAGTCGAATAATTTAAAAACAACATACAATTCTTCGACTTAAAAAAACAAATCAATACGAGGCTTGCAACGTCGTAAATTTACCTCGAAAAGCGCAAAATATTAACGATATTATTGCGTATCTCGCCAAATTATACTAGCAAGTTATATCTCGCTATTTAATCATCCGAATATCCTCGTATATTTCAGCATCGTTTCAAAATTATGATAATTGTATATATGTGTATCCTGCATATCAAATTATACCTGCAAGTTATATCTCGCTATCAATCATCTGTGCATTCTCGTGTATTTTAGCACCGGTTTTTTAGAAATTTAAACAAAAAATTTCATATTTATTTCTTGAAGTATCTACGAAGAAATTCAATCGATACATCTCGCTCCTTGCAATCAGTGTAAGGGATATCTGTTTAATATTGGATACATTTCACCAGTTGAATATTGAAGCAACACGTTGGCGAATTAAGATCAATAAAGACGGCGTAAAAGATCCGGCGTCTTATCGAGGCGGGACCTTCCAACGTGATTGCGGCGCGAAAGTGCCAAGTGGTAACGCCGGTATCTCGAAACGTGACAACAAAAGCTCGACTTACCGAAGATGGTGTTGCTGGGGTTCATGGCGACCTGATTCTTCGCCGCGTCGCCGATCAGCCTCTCGGTGTCGGTGAATGCCACATAGCTCGGCGTGGTCCGGTTGCCCCAGTCGTTGGCGATGATCTCGACCTTCCCGTGCTGGAAGACACCCACGCACGAGTACGTGGTGCCCAGGTCAATGCCAATTGCCGGTGCTTCCGACATTGTCACTAATTGTCAGTCTTCTCTCTTATATTATGTACATACAATCACTGAAATGAAAAACCGACAGGTGACAAACGCGATACCCCGCTAACCAAAGCGTGTGCAAGAGTGCAGGCGTATTAGCACGACAGCGCACTGACTACTGAGAACAGTGAGAACTGAGCCGTGAGCGGCGAGCGCACGCTGCACGCTGCGCTCAGCATGTCCACAGTATAAACAGTATGGGGGTATGGGGGACAATAGACACTCTGTCGGCACCTTTGATTTATTGGTTTCCGATTCGCCGCTATGTTTTTAGGGGACCCATCGACGTAACAACGGTTAAAAGGGCCCGGGTTGTACCTACAAGTAACACTGCCCAAATGTTGCACGCCGATTTTTTTGAAACTATGCACACATGTAGAACGTTGAAAAATATTTGTGTCGTGTTTTTTTATTTCTGCTTATAAAGCGT